TGTACCAAACAAACATTCTCTTCCAACTGCAGAACAAAACTAGAAAGCTTTATTATAATGCTGTTTTATTTGATCTTTAATCAAACAAACATACATCCACATTTATAAAGATTGACGCCATGACAGCTCTCAAACAGTGATACAGTATAGACTGTCTCTCTATCTCCCCCTGGTGGCTGACTGCAGTATAGACTCTCTCTCTATCTCCCCCTGGTGGCTGATTGCAGTATAGATAGTGTGTATTATCCAAACCAGTGGTCTCCCATACATTCTCTGTTCCAGGCAACTCCACAGAGCCAACACCACTCTGCTCTGCACAGAGGACACTGCATGTGCATACAGCCGCCTGCAGGGGGAGACAGACACACTCATTACTCACATATATACTGCATGTACAGTACATGTACACAGTAACTATACTCAGTAATCATACTATGTATAGTTACTGAAATACAAACTTCTGTGTTATATATAAAATATATTTGTTGGTCTTTTTATGCTTTCATTTTGTTTTGGGGGTGGGGTGGGGGGGGGGTGCAGAAAAGGACCACAGGTTGGAATCTAACCCATGCCGCTGTGGTAAGGACTCTAGGTGCATCCCGACCTACAGTAATATGTGAACTATTATCACTGTCTGCTCCAATAGGCTCAGCTAATAATCCCCAGATGGAGTCAGTCAGAGTTCCCAATGGAAAACATGAAGACTCCCTGTTTTAATTCCCACATTGTCCTTAAACTGTCTAGAAATCAGGATTTACAGACACTGAAGCTGTAGTAACTGCAGCTGAAGCTAAGAGACAGCGAGGGAGAGCGCAGTGACTGCAACCGAAGCTCAGAGACAGCGAGGGAGAGCGCAGTGCCTGCACTAACAGCAGGTTGGTTTGTAGGGAGGAGTACTCAGAACAGATCTGAAAGATTATGGAGACCTTTTACAGGGACTGTGGCTACATGAGTGTTATATATATATATATATATATATGAATGTTATAAGGAGTTCGGTCTAGACCTGCTCTATTTGAAAAGTGTCCTGAGATAACTTCTGTTATGAATTGGCGCTATACAAATAAAATTTAATTGAATTGAGTTGAATTGAATTGAATTGAATGAGTGGGGGTTTAACTACATTCATTTGACCTTATTCTTAAGATGTTAATACTGGGAAATTTTTTAAAGACCTCATTGTTTTGTTCTGTTTTTATTGATTTATATGTCTTTACAATATATCTTGTCAAGGTTAATACATTTATTAATAACTAATGATCTTTGTTTTCTGTGTTTCAGATCAGTAACTTCATCTTCACAGAATTTAATTGAAGATTTAGATTTTTAGGACCAGTTCAGACCAGATCAGACCAGTTCAGACCAGATAAAAACAGAGAGAGCAGAGCTGCTGTCTTACACACTTCTCTGCGCTTTCTTTAGAACAGTCACCCACCCAAAACCCCATAGAGACTGTGTCTGTCCCCCGACCACCTAAATTATTTAAAGAAATAAAAACAAGAGGAGTTCAACATGAAAATCTAATAAAAATTAAAACCAACTCCTCAGTAGCACAAAATAAGAGAATGAAATGTGGGCTGTTAAATATCAGGTCTCTGTCCTCTAAAGCTGTTTTAGTGAATGAATTAATATCAGATTATGATATTGATTTACTTTGTCTTACTGAGACCTGGTTGTCCCACGAGGAGTATGTTAGCCTAAATGAATCCACCCCCCCCAGTCATATTAATACTCACATTCCTCGAAGCACTGGCCGAGGAGGTGGAGTAGCAGCCATATATGATTCGAGCGTTTTAATGGACCCTAAACCTAAACTAAATTATAATTCATTTGAAAGCCTTGTTCTTAGTCTTTCTCACCCAAACTGGAAAACACTGCAGCCAGTTCTATTTGTTATAGTGTACCGCGCTCCTGGACCGTACTCTGATTTTATATCTGAATTCTCAGAGTTTTTATCAAGTTTAGTCCTTAAATCAGATAAAGTAATTATTGTAGGTGATTTTAATATTCATGTGGATGTTAACAATGACAGCCTTAGTAATGCATTTATATCATTAATAGACTCAATTGGCTTCTGTCAGAGTGTAAATAAACCAACTCATGGTTTTAATCACACTCTTGACCTTTTTCTATCATATTGCATAGATATTGAACATTTAATAGTCTTCCCACATAATCCTTTCCTATCTGACCATTATTTAATAACTTTTGAATTCATGTTGTTAGATTATAAGCCATTAGGCAAAACTTCCTACAGCAGATGTCTATCTGACAGTGCTGTAGCTAAATTTAAGGGAGGAGATTCCTTCAGTGTCCCTCTGAAATTGATAATCTTGTCGATAGTGCTACAGGCTCACTACGATCAACATTAGACTCTATCGCTCCTATAAAAAGGAAATTATTAAAACATAGGAGACTAGCACCTTGGTATAACCACCAAACCCGCCAGTTAAAACAAATAGCTAGGAAATCTGAAAGGAAATGGCACTCTTCCAAATTATCAGAATATCGCTCAATTTGGCAAGATAATCTTAAAACTTATAGAAAGGCCCTCCGTAATGCCAGAGGAGCCTATTACTCAGCACTAATAGAAGAAAATAAGAATAACCCTAGGTTCCTCTTCAGCACTGTAGCCAGGCTGACAGAGAGTCACAGCTCTATTGAGCCACATATCCCCATAAACTTAAGTAGCAATGACTTCATGAGCTTCTTCTATAATACAATTATTACTATTAGAGAGAAAATTAATCACCAACTGCCATCAACAGTTATCAGTGGCTCTCCAAGTTCAGGGACTTCTGTCAGTGTAAACTTAGATATATATTTAGACTGTTTTTCTGCTATCGATCTTCATCAGTTAACTTCAATCATTTCTTCATCGAAGCCATCAACCTGACTATTAGACCCGATCCCAACTAGGCTGCTTAAAGAAGTTGTTCCCTTAATTGGCACTTCTTTACTGGATATGATTAATCTTGCTTTATTATCAGGATATGTACCACAGTCCTTTAAAGTAGCTGTAATTAAACCCCTTCTTAAAAAGCCCACTCTTGACCCAGGGGTTTTAGCCAACTATAGACCGATCTCTAACCTCCCCTTCCTCTCTAAGATTCTGGAGAAAGTAGTCGCCAAAGAGTTGTGTGACTTTCTACATAACAATAGTTTATTTGAGGATTTTCAGTCAGGATTTAGAGTTCATCATAGCACAGAGACAGCTCTGGTTAAAGTTAATAATGACCTTCTGATTGCTTCTGACAATGGACTTGTCTCTGGACTCGTATTATTAGATCTTAGTGCTGCATTTGACACCATTGACCATAATATTCTTTTACAGAGACTTGAGCATCAAATTGGCATTAAAGAAACCGCACTAAGCTGGTTTAAGTCATATTTATCAGATCGCTCGCAGTTTGTACATGTTAACGATGAATCTCAATAAATACTACAGTTAGTCATGGAGTTCCACAAGGTTCTGTACTTGGACCAATACTATTTACTTTATATATGCTCCCTTTAGGCAACATTATTAGGAATCACTCCATTAACTTTCACTGTTATGCAGATGATACGAAGTTATATCTATCAATCAAGCCCGATGAAATTAATCAATTATCTAAATTACAAACATGTCTTAAGGACATAAAATCCTGGATGACCTGCAATTTTCTGATGTTAAACTCAGAAAAAAACGAAATTCTTGTTCTTGGCCCCAAAAACCTTAGAGACTCACTGTCTAAAGATATAGTTACTCTAGATGGCATTACCTTGGCCTCTAGCACCACTGTCAGGAATCTTGGAGTTATCTTTGATCAGGATTTGTCATTTAACTCCCACATGAAGCAGACCTCCAGGACTGCCTTCTTTCATTTACGTAATATTACAAAAATTAGACACATACTATCACAGACAGATGCAGAAAAACTAATCCATGCATTTGTTACTTCAAGGCTGGATTACTGCAACTCTTTATTATCAGGTTGCCCCAATAAGTCCATTAAAACACTCCAATTAATTCAGAACGCTGCAGCACGAGTACTGACAGGAACTAGAAAAAGAGATCACATCTCTCCTGTACTAGCTTCTCTGCATTGGCTCCCTGTAAAATGTAGAATAGAATTTAAAATCCTCCTCCTCAACTATAAAGCTCTTCATGGTCAGGCCCCTTCATATCTTAAAGAGCTCATAGTACCCTATTACCCCACTAGAACACTACGTTCTCTGAATGCTGGGCTACTTGTGGTTCCTATAGTCTCTAAAAGTAGAACAGGAGCCAGAGCCTTCAGTTACCAAGCTCCTCTCCTGTGGAACCAGCTTCCAGTTGTGGTTCGGGAGGCAGACACCCTCACCACATTCAAGAGTAGGCTTAAGACATTCCTCTTTGATAAAGCTTATAGTTAGGGCTGGATCAGGTGAGTCCTGAACCATCCCTTAGTTATGCTGCTATAGGCCTAGACTATCGGGGGATTTCCCATGGTGCACTGAGCTCCTCCCTTCCTCTCTCTTTCTGCACTCATTCATGTTCCATTAATGCATGTTACTAACTTCACTTCTTCCCCGGAGTTCTTGTGCTTTCTCGTCTCGCAGGTTCTTATCGATCCTGGTGGAGCCTCCTGCCATGGTCCTGCTAGATTGCCATTGCCAATACTGTTGTTGCTGTGCACCTGTCTGTCTGTCTCTCGCTCTCTCTCTCTCTCTCTCTCTCTCTCTCACCCCAACTGGTCGAGACAGACGACCACCCACCTAGAGCCGGAGGATCTGTCCTAGGTTTCTGCCTTTTAACAGGCAGTTTTTCCTTGCCCTTGTCGCCAAGTGCTTGCTCATGGTGGTACTGTTGGTTCTCTGTAATTAATGTTTTAAAGAATTCGGTCTAGACCTGCTCTATTTGAAAAGTGTCCTGAGATAACTTCTGTTATGAATTGGCGCTATACAAATAAAATTGAATTGAATTGAATTGAATTGAATTGAATTGAATCAGACCAGATCTATAAGTGGTCTCTCACCGTTTCTCTCCACAGGAACTGAACACTGAGGGCAGCGTTTAGTCGACTCCTGCAGGAGCAGCAGGGAGGCTCGATCCCACCTCCCTCTGAGCGACGCCTCCTCATCTACCACAAAACCCTGAAGAGCAGGATCAGTTTAATGATTGATCAGCTCACCTGTTTATTGATGGATCAGTTGATCTTTTTATTGATTTGTCAGCTCACCTGTGAGGCTTCACCTGTGGGCCGGGCCGGCTCAGTGTGACACACCCCCTCGTGGTACCCCTCCCTGCAGTCTTTGCAGAAGACGAACCCGCAGCCGAGCTGTCTGTCACACTCCACCCTCCTGTCATCCTCAGGTGGTACAAGCCCTGCCCCACAGCCAGGTGACGGACACATCACTCCTCCAATCGTCAGCAGGCACTCCTCAGCCCCGTACTGCAGGTACCGCCCATACTTTGAAACAGACCACTGACAATGTCAGAACACATTTAACTCAGAGGACACCAGCAGAGGGAGCTCTCTGTCTGTCCCTTCCATATGTTTAGACTAAGCTTACGTCCATCACAATGTATCTGTCCTACCCACTTTAAATATACATACATGTATACATATATGTAAGGTAGGAGCGTCCGTCTGTCCCTTCTAAGACGCTCTGATACATATCGAGATACATTGGCTACGATATGATTCAGGGACATTTTAATCTGTAACAATGTGAACATTTGTTTAATGTAGACATTTATTTTACATTCTAAATTAAAATAAAGCAATTCTAAATAAGTGACATTGTTTACCTTCAAATACATATTTTATAAAATACCAGTGAATCCCAAATATTTGCTTCTTTATGGTAAAATCTGTCTGATTTCAGAGTTACAGTCATTGTTGCTTTTCCAAAAGACAGACAGACAGACAGATACGTTGTGTACAGAAAGTGTTTAATATCTGGACTGAACTGCTGTCACTGACTCATATCAGTGAATCTTTACAGCACTAACAAATATGTATATTTAAAGTATATTTATAGTAGATTCATAGTAGATGACCTAATCCTGGACATGTTGATGTTTCCATCTGATGGAATGGAGTAGAAACATGACAAATAAATAATAAAGTGTTAACTCAGAGGACACATCCAGCAGGGTTACATCCGACCATCACAATATAATACTGCGCTGTATGTATTAGATAGATGTATAAATAAGCACTCGGAGTTACTCCTTCTTTTAGTGACTTTTCGCTACTTTCAAATTTTTTCATACACGCTAGCTTCATTAGCATTAGCAGTTAGCTATGTCTTCTCCCTCTCCCTCTCCTCTGTCCTGCTCAGTGTGCCAGATGTTGAGCTATTCCTCTGCCTCCTTTAATGATAATGGTACCTGTATTAAGTGTAGTTTATTTACTGCGCTGGAGGCAAGGCTTAGTGAGTTAGAGGAACGGCACTGCACCACTGAGATATCTTTAGCCGCTATAGTTAGCCAGCCCCCAGTAGCCGGTGTGGTCCGCCCGAAGGTTCCCTTAATTGGCACTTCTTTACTGGATATGATTAATCTTTCTTTATTATCAGGATATGTACCACAGTCCTTTAAAGTAGCTGTAATTAAACCCCTTCTTAAAAAGCCCACTCTTGACCCAGGGGTTTTAGCCAACTATAGACCGATCTCTAACCTCCCCTTCCTCTCTAATATTCTGGAGAAAGTAGTCGCCAAAGAGTTGTGTGACTTTCTACATAACAATAGTTTATTTGAGGATTTTCAGTCAGGATTTAGAGTTCATCATAGCACAGAGACAGCTCTGGTTAAAGTTAATAATGACCTTCTGATTGCTTCTGACAATGGACTTGTCTCTGTACTTGTATTATTAGATCTTAGTGCTCCATTTGACACCATTGACCATGATATTCTTTTACAGAGACTTGAGCATCAAATTGGCATTAAAGGAACCGCACTAAGCTGGTTTAAGTCATATTTATCAGTTCGTTCACAGTTTGTACATGTTAACGATGAATCTTCAATAAATACTACAGTTAGTCATGGAGTTCCACAAGGTTCTGTACTTGGACCAATACTATTTACTTCATATATGCTCCCTTTAGGCAACATTATTAGGAATCACTCCATTAACTTTCACTGTTATGCAGATGATACGCAGTTATATCTATTGATCAAGCCCGATGAAATTAATCAATTATCTAAATTACAAACATGTCTTAAGGACATAAAATCCTGGACGAGCTGCAATTTTCTGATGTTGAACTCAGAAAAAAACAAAATTCTTGTTCTTGGCCCCAAAAACCTTAGAGACTCACTGTCTAAAGATATAGTTACTCTAGACGGCATTACCTTGGCCTCTAGCACTACTGTCAGGAATCTTGGAGTTATCTTTGATCAGGATTTGCCATTTAACTCCCACATGAAGCAGACCTCCAGGACTGCCTTCTTTTATTTATGTAATATTACAAAAATTAGACACATCCTATCACAGACAGATGCAGAAAAACTAATCCATACATTTGTTACTTCAAGGCTGGATTACTGCAACTCTTTATTATCAGGTTGCCCCAATAAGTCCATTAAAACGCTCCAATTAAGTCCCCTTAGTTATGCTGCTATAGGCCTAGACTATCGGGGGATTTCCCATGGTGCACTGAGCTCCTCTCTTCCTCTCCCTTTCTGCACTCTGCATGTTACTAATTTCACTTCTTCCCCGGAGTTCTTGTGCTTTCTCGTCTCGCAGATTCTTATCGATCCTGGTGGAGCCTCCTGCCATTGCCAATACTGTTGTTGCTGTGCACCTGTCTGTTTGTCTGTCTGTCTGTCTCTCTCTCTCTCTCTCTCTCCCTTTTTTTTTTCCTTGCCCTTGTCGCCTAGTGCTTGCTCATGATGGTACTGTTGGGTCTCTGTAAATAATGTTTTAAAGAGTTCGGTCTAGACCTGCTCTATTTGAAAAGTGTCCTGAGATAACTTCTGTTATGAATTGGCGCTATACAAATAAAATTGAATTGAATTGAAAATTGAATATATCTATACATATATATATATATATATATATATATATATATATATTAGCATTTGCACAAAGCAAGCCGATCCACTTTTCCATGTTGATAAGAGCATTAAAATAAGAAAAAAATAATGGGACAAAAATAGAATAAAAAAATAAAAAATAATAGATAAAAATGTGCGATTAATTGCGAGTTAACTATGACATTAATGCGATTAATCTCGATTAAATATTTTAATCGTTTGACAGCACTAATATATATGTATAGATATGTATATACAGTGTTTCCTCTATGTTGATTTTGGAGCGGCGGCCCGCTGCTGTTCAATTTCTGCCTCCGCGGTATCAGAAATGGGGCAGACGCACAATGTAGTCACGGTTGCCTTTTAAATGATCCTGCCGACATAATGCCCCCCCGCTGGCTGCCGCTCACATTGCAGTTTAACAACAAGTAGAACTATTCAGAGGTTATTGGGGCTGTCCAGTTTAACTCCACATACTGTTGTGTTGATGGAGCTTATTGTCAAAACGTTCGCTTTCTTCCAAGTCGACCATTAAACTAACAGCTCCACCAAAAACGTCACCGCGGTGGGTCCGTTTTAATTGGACAACGTTCAACTTGTCAGTTTCTCAGCTCAACGTCCTGATATCAAACATCTGGAAACATTAAAACGGTAAATATATTTGTTGTGTCGCAGCGAAGTGTCACTTCTGTAAAACGTTTGCCGATGGGACGCGGGGGCGTTCAGATGGGCCTGCCGCCGCTGCTAAAAAAAATCCTAGAGGAAACACTGTATATATATAAATTAGGGATGTCCAGGGCCTATATTATCGGCCGGTATTCACAAAAAAATTTAATATTGGGAATTATCGGTATCAGGTTTTTATAACCGATGTTTGTTCTGTAGGCTTCAGCATTTCCGAGCCTGCATGAACGCAGCATGGGACGTTTACCGGCGCGCGCTAGATGACGTATAACAACAACAACTACACGCTAGACTGGTTGTTTGCTAACCGTGGCTAACAAGCAAACAATTTAAAGCTGAATGATTTTAATATTAACACAAAATAAGTGCAATGCACCTTAAATATTTTACCCTGCTATGAGCTGTTTCTTAACCAAACTTAGAATTTACATTAGCACTCCTTCAGGTGCATAATACAATTAAACACATTAACCAAAGCTAGTGCTTAGCTAGCGATTAGCGCTTAGCTAGCGATTAGCGTTAGTGCTCTTTTCAGTATTAATACATGAAAGTTAAAGTGGTTCTCTTATTTTGCACAGTGTTTACATTTGGAAAGCCATGTTGCATTTATGTATGCATCTAATGGGGCATCACAATAAAATGAGTCACAATGTGTTAATTCCACAATAGGAGATATGTTATGTTGTTACAGTTTTGGTGTAAAAAGCCTGCATATATCGGTATCGGGTGATATCAGTATCGGAAATTGAGAGTTGGCAGAAAAGCCAATATCGAGCATCCCTAATTTAAATAAACAGTGTATATGAATGTATATGTATATGAAAAGGAAGAACTCACCTGATCGTCTCCCAAAATCCTGAAATGATGCAACTCCTTAATAAGAGAGTCAACGCAGCCGGCTGGGGACACAAACACATTGATTTACTGTATTAATATTCCTGATATGATAACACAGCCGAAAGATTACAGATTACAGATTACAGATATCAGGTACTTTATACAGTCTCTACATGCTAAGTCTCACCAGCACACGGCAGCGAGTAGCCAATCACAGGATGATAAACAAACTGTCGCTCGTTTAGTCGAGTCTGACAGTATCGACGGAAACAGTCCACACAGATCACATGACGCTCCGAACACTGGAAGACCAGGACCAGGTCCCTGAGAGAGAGACAGGTTAATGTGTGTGTGTGTGAGGACCAGGTCCCTGAGAGAGAGACAGGTTAATGTGTGTGTGTGTGAGGACCAGGTCCCTGAGAGAGAGACAGGTTAATGTGTGTGTGTGTGTGAGGACCAGGTCCCTGAGAG